TCTCCTTCCCTCCCTCTCTCTCTCTTTTTGGGGGCAATACTGGGGATTGAACTGAGGGGCACTTGACCACTGAGCCCCATCCCCAACCCTATTTTGTATTTTATTTAGACACAGGGTCTCACTGAGTTGCTTAGTGCTTTGCTTTTGCTGAGGCTGGCTTTGAACTTGTGTTCTTCCTGCCTCAGCCTCCCGAGTGCTCAGCCCAGCTGAGCATCTCTTTTAATTCCCATGAACTGCATGTGAATCTACTAATTATCTCAAAATTAAAATTTAATATTTAAAAGGGGATAGTGTCATGCTTCTATTGGGATCATTCAGCTCCTGCCATAGCCTGTCCCTCCTCAGAGGCTTTTCCGCATCTCACAGCCACAGGGCTGGGTGACTGCCTGATACTAGAGGATGGGGCTCTGTGGGGAATGCAGGCTGAGAGAGTCAGGAGGACTGTGCTGCCCACAGGGCTCCAGCACCACCAGGACTTAAGCACTCCAGTTGGACGGCCTGATGCTGAGGTTCTGCAGCAACTGATAGAGGCAGTCGTGGGCCAGGTCCTGCCTGGGGCCACTGTCACGCTGACTGGTGGCTTTCGAAGGTAAGGGGGTTTGACATACTCTTCTGGCTTACCTCCAGGACCCTTCCCAATGCAGGGACCTGAGTTGTGGATATTGAGGAGGCTTTCCCATTCACCGGGAGGGGCATGGCCCATAACTGGAACGAGGGCTGTGTCCTTGTCCTTCTCAGGGGCAAGTTACAGGGCCATGATGTGGACTTCCTTATCACCCACCCTGAGGAGGGCCAGGAGGCGGGGTTGCTGCCGAAAGTGATGTGCCACCTGCAGAGCCAGGTGAGGGCTTCTGGTGCCTCTGTCCAAGAGTTGACTGCCACCTGGCCTTCTGTTCTAGTATCATGGTGGTGCCTGGCCACATCTGCCTTTCCCCACAGGGCCTTATCCTGTATCATCAGCACCAAGCCAGCTGCTTAGAGACTCCTACTTACCTTGTTCAGCGGAGCCACACCATGGATGCCTTTGAGAGGAGTTTCTGCATCTTCCGCCTGCCTCAACCCTCAGGAGCTGCCTTAGGGGGTGTCCTGAAGCCTTGCTCAGCATGGAAAGCTGTGAGGGTAGATCTGGTGGTTGCTCCCATCAGCCAGTTCCCTTTTGCTCTGCTTGGCTGGACTGGCTCTCAGGTAGGTTGTGTGCTGCTGAGGCTGCCAGGGCTGAGGTGAGCCAACCATACTGAGGGCAGTTATTCCCCGCAGCTTTTTGAGCGGGAACTGCGCCGATTCAGCCGGAAAGAGAAGGGACTGTGTCTGAACAGCCATGGACTGTTTGACCCAGAGCAGGTATGTCAAGGATTAGGGTGGGAAACAACCCCCTAGCCTGCTTCCTGGATCACAGCCTGAAATGGCCCTAAATCTCTCCATCCTGGAACCATGGTGCCCAGATCTTGGTCTTACCTCCCAGATCCTAGCCCTCCCCAAAAGGCATCTTGCCTTAGCACTGGGTTCTGCCTCCCCATCTAGCCTGTCTCCAGGGAAGCCATCCTGGCTGGGCACCCTGTGCATTGTGCAATGGTGCCACTGGGCATGGCCCCCAGCTTCTGAAGCCTCTGCTTCTGTTGCAGAAGACATTTTTCCATGTGGTTTCCGAAGAAGACATCTTCAGACACCTGGGCCTCAAGTACCTTCCCCCAGAGCAGAGAAATGCCTGATCCAGCCCATTTGGCCTCACTCCTCTTAGGAAACGGGAGGCTGCTGGACACTTTTGAATATCTCCAGGCAGAAGATACGCTGCCACGCCATATCCTCATCTCCAAGTGGAAGAGTCTTTACCTGTGGGAGCGACTGTGAGGCGGGGCCTTCCTCACACTCCAGCCTTATAGCTGTGTGATCATGGTCAGCATTCAGCCTCCCCAGGCCTCAGGTTCCCACCTGGGTCAGGAAATCTGAGCAGTACTCAAGTCATGGAGCTGTGGCAGAGCCAGCAGTCCCAGTGCGGCAATTGAGGTGTGGTTGCGTGTCTTCTATAGGGCACCCCACTCAGTTGCCCAGAAGAGAACCATGTATCCCTGCCCTGCACTTGAGCCATGAGGTGGAAGCTGTAGTTCTTGCTCTTAGGAGTCCTCTGTGGAGGTGAAAACGGGTATGCTGCAATCACCTGGAATGAGTAAAGGTCCAAGTCAAGAGAACTTCCAATGCTGGGATTTTGGCACTGCAGCCCCTACCCTGCTTCTGCCTTTAAGTCCTGTACTCTTCCTACTTCAAAACAGGTCACACTCTGCCACTTCTTGCTCATAGTCCTGCGGAATTCCAAACCCCAAAATCCTCATGTGATCCCCTAGGGTTCTAGCATTTCTGCCACCCCTGCCAATCTCATCTGCACTCTTCTTTCAATACCCACCACCCCATCCCTCATTTGCTTCCTGTTTCACTGTTTCCTACTGATGTTCTCAGACCCCATGTCTCTGACTCCCTCCCCTTTCTGGGAGGGAGTCAGAGACATGGGCTGGACACACAGGTATCCTGTGTGTTCCCTGATCTCCTGCAGGGCCTTTGCCTTCGCCACTCTTTGCCTCCTTCAGGACTTGATTCAAGGTCATCTTGTTAGTCACAGCTTCCCAGACCACTCACCACATCACAAAGTGTTTTTTAAATTAACATGCAATAAAATGGTATCTTTTAAGGTTTGTTTTTAATGGGCTTTAACACAGGTATAGACTCTGCCATCTCAGGACCCAAAGGTCTGTCCCCCAAGCATTGCCTTATGCCATTGCATTATCGCCACATGTTCTTTATCCCAACTCACTCATTTTGTTCACTTATCTACAGTTTTGCCCTCTCCAGAATATCATAGAAGTGGAACCAAATTCTCCCTTTTACTTGCCTCTCTCTCATCATGCCTTTGAGATTCACTCAGGTTTTTGCATATATTGATAGTTTATTTTTCTTTATTGCCACATAATATTACATTAATGGGGTGTTCCAGGATTTATCTGTTCAGCTACTGAAGAATGTTTAGATTGTTTCCAGGGTTTGGTGATTATGAATAGAGCTACTGTAGCCATGTGTATATAGATTAGTGGGTAACATACCTTTTCAGTTCTCTTGGGTAAATATGAAGGTATAGGAATATTGGGTTATATGATAAGTATGTTTTTAAGAAAGAGCTAAATTGTTCAGAATGCCTGTCATTTTCCATTTTATCACCAGTGTGAGCCACCCATATAAGTTAAACATTTCATAGTAGCAGTTACTGTGTATCTGTCATCAATTGATAATTTTGGTTTTTATTTTAGCTGTTCTATGAAAGGTCTGTAGCACTATTTAACTGCCTTCCCCCCCCCCCTTTTTTTTTCCCTTTCCCTTCCATTCTGGGGATTGAAACCAGGGGCTTGTGAAATAGTCAGCACACACTCTGCCATTGAGCTATAATCCCAGCCCATTTA